CAATGAAGGAATCGTTATGAAGAGGCTATAGACCGTACCAAGGAAAATGAAGCATAAGAAAGAAAATTGTGTAACAGTTCAAAGGCAGATACACAGTAGAAGTGCTCCCAGGTTGATAATTTGGGCACAACAGTCAGTGATGTAATGGTCTAACAGTCATGTCCGAATATGAAGACAAGTGTTCGATTCCTTCCCGACTCGTAATCATTTGCAACACTTTTTATCTTCGGTCATCATCTAGTTTCCTCATAAAATGTTAAAATATATGGTTTTTTGTGATACAAAGTACCTTGAATCGGTCACATTCATAATCGTTGATTGTGCATATACTTACTTAGAGACTCGCTCATATTCTCAATAACTTTTTCGATGCGCGCTTTATCTTCTGGATTCTGCGTATATTTATGAATCTCTTTCAGCACTATTGGAAGTTTCGTTATGCGCTGCAGTGGTGAAATTAGCAGATCTTCGAGCTGCAAGCGCTCACATCGTGGATCAGATAAACATACCTGAAAATGAACTTTTGCTTTAACAGTCTGTTAAATTATGAGAGAACAGGTGCCACAAAGAATGTATAATAATTTCTTTAAAGGACATAAAAGTTTCAGCGTCACCAGCAGCAGACTGACCATCAGGCAAGCCGCACTGGTCAGACCAGGTGGGAAAACTGCCAGGTGTATAACTGGAGAACCATTAGCTAAAAAAGTAACCAACAAGAAAAAAAAAAAACTCAACCCTTTCAAATTCCGTAAATCGCTCCTCTTTTTCTCGTATTGTCCCAAGATACTCCATTGTCGCTTTGTAATTGATGCAGTATGCTTGATAAGCTGATATTGTTGACGGCCCTTTCGAAAACTGAATATGAAATGTGTGCAGCAAGTGCCAGTTTTATCAGGCAACCATCACCAGTTACTTCTGGCCCGTTTTCTTCTTACTTATTTTAGCGCTAATATTTCCCAATCGCCTGTACGATAAGGTTTCCCAACATAATCTGGGAGTGATAATGTTTGGAAGCAGAGTGGTATCTTTCAACATACACCGGTGAATCTTTCAACATCACCAGTGAATCTCTGAAGGCCGTACCGTGCCAGGAAAATCGTTAACATGGTAATCCATTTTGAAGACGCAACGAATGTCAAAATCGCCACAAGCTGACGACTACCACGTGATGTACAATGGAAAAGCTGCTAATTAAATAACTGGAGAATGACGCTACGAAACACACCTGGTCGAAGTACTACAGTATGATCTGTACAAGTCGCTAAACTACCCCTCCTCCCCCACCCCGATTATTTACTCTCACAGGAGAAGTGGAAATGAGGCATTTCCCAACCAGAATATTTTTCGACTCCGATTTTTTTTTTTGCGCGTTAATGCTTACTCTTTCGAAGAGCTTGACAACCAATTCGGTTGTATTATAA